TGTATTATTATTTCGAGATATCTGCTAAAAATGAAATTGAAATCAAAGACGCCTTCGGTTAATCTTGAACATGTTCTCGTATAAAACGAATGTGGCATCGTATGTTGTTAAAAAGAAGCCGCCAGAATAAGGAAAAAAGACATTTCCATTCGAATGGGCGAAGAAGCTAACGGCAGCTCAATAACGAGGGTTTAGATTGAAATTTTACTTTGACATTAAGTAGCAGGAGACACGGATTTCTCGTTCCGTTTTGAGTATCGTTCACTTGTCAGGTACGCGGGTCCTGAGAAAGCTCATCCCCTCATCCAATAGGATAGCAATCCTACGTGCGACCGATTTCCAAAGATGATATTGCAGAAGCAAGCGTCTAATCGAGAATCGCGCGTGGTGTACGTGTGCGTACGTGCGTGCGTGGTGCGAAGAGGAAAAGCGCGCGTTTTCACACTTATTATAAGGTACACTCGCGCCGTCCGATTAAGCCACGTGCGATCACTCGAGGCCTAATGGGTTGGTACGCGCGTCTGCCTTCGCCTACGCGACGCAAGAGATTAAGATTTCTGTCGCCGATAAGAACGAGGAATTTATTAACGGGCGCACCGCTTATCTTGCGAAAGCCGCTTACCTGATTACCCTCTGTTTATTCATGTATTTTTTATGGACGCGGAGCGCGACTGCTCTCCATTCATATTTATACATTAATACATTGTGCAATGTAACACGGATTTTATCAATTTTGCAAACTTTCCAATGCTACTGTACTGTCGCCCGTTATGCCCCAGACCCCCAGACTTCTTTTTCCACGCGCGAATTCTACTCTTCAGCTTAATGCGTTAATTAGGCACTGATAAATTTCAACGACGTCCTGCCGAGTCCTCTTAACAATTTTTTGCCCTCGGCGGTTTAAAAGATGCACGGTTTATCCATGATGTAAAAGATACATTATCGAGTAGATTGAAAATTTTCGAGATTTTCATCTCATTATTAATGATTGTGCCAAGTAAATTGAAGTGGGCCTCTTTTAGTTTTATTTGATCATAATTTCGACGAAAATAATGCTCACATAAACTGTCCGGATTCCTGACTGAAGGCCTGAAGAAGGAGTGCAACTTTTCGCGCAGCTAATCTATAAAACAAAATTGATAATTTTTCAATTCCCTTGTTTTACGGTGACTTTCCACTTATTGTCCTCCAAACTATAGTCTCTCTTTGGAAACCGATGCCAAAAGAAATGTTTCGAATGTATTTTTATTCTCAATTATCCGAGTTTCAGTGACAGCGAACGAAAGAGAATCAACGATGAGAGAAGCTTGAATGGATCTTTGTGCGAGGCAATGTGTGGAGAACAACATCATTAAAGTATGCCGTCTCGTTTTCTTGACGATATAATTACATGTGCGTACGTAGGCCCGCAAATATTTTTCCGCCAATCTCCCCGTACAGACTAATGACATTACACTTTTGGCCTTTAAATAAAGTTTCTCGTGAGAAATTTTTTTCTTCCAAGCCAAGCTTAATATTTTCTTAATATTATTATTGATATAATCGAGGTGATGCTTGAAATATAAACGAGATCAGTAGCCACTAAGAGAGCAGTAAAATAATAAAGATAATTTATATTTCTTACGGCCTATCTATTTGTATGTATTTAAAGATTCATCTTTATAACTTGTCAACAAAAATATCTTTTTACAGAGAATTCGTACGTTATATTCTCACATAGTCTCCTCTCATATTTATATACTCACTCGTGTTACAATATTATAATATAATATTTTCTCTATCAATCTTTATCGCGAGACTTTTTAAATAATTTCTGTTATTTTAGTTTCTGATAGAACATTGAAAAAAAAAATAAAAAAAAATACTGGCTTAATTAATCGAGCATATTGCCATTTATTTACGTTAGCGGGAAAAAAAATTAATTTTACGGACTTTTGAATTAATTTTCTGACAAACGAACGAAATATTCAATTATATACGCGATTAAATAATAATATATTTGATTCAAGTGGACATGTTTTTGAAGTACTTTTCAATGACGTCAAACTGTTTTGAGGAATTAGTAAGCTACGCTTGTTTTGAAAAAATTTCATTACAATTGTAGTGTTTATTAATGAATCGAAAGATCTGAGTCATATACGCAGACTTTAATAACTTTAATCGTAGTACTCACCAATTTTTTCGATCCTATATTCATACATGTTCCTTATTACACTTAATACTTATGCTTCTCAAACACCCGCGACCCCAAGTCATTTGACCTTTTCATAAAATACATTATTAGTTAAATACGCAATAAATATGTGTGCCACCTTACCAATTATTTTGCTAAATTAATCGTAAATAATTACTTAGGCCCGAGGTCCAGCAAAGAAATTATTTTTTATTTTTCACTATACACGCGCACATCGAGACGATAATTTGTTGATCCATCATACGATGCGTAATACCACAAAGCACAAGACGATACGGGTGTATGTTTGAATTATCTACTATCAGCTGAAGTAGTCAAACGATACATTTTCGTAAACATTAATATTTAAGCGTAATCATATAATAATAATACTTTTTTTTTCAATCACACGTAGAGCTCTATTTATGTAATTATTTATTACAAAAATTTTTTTTATAATTATATAATTTATATATTAAATTTTTATACAAGGTTTTTTGTCGGTTTATTTTCTATTTTCGTTAAATGAACCTTTGATTGACTTTGAATGATAAATACTGCAAATATAAGCATATTCTTAAGAACGGTTATGCATATTGTTATGATCGATTGATAATGTCGAAGTGAATCATTTGACCTTAAAATCGTATTAAAAAGGTTAAGTCGATGATAAATAAACGTTTGGATTGGCAGTATTTAGTGCCGAATTTGCGTCCATCATTGATCGCAATTTGTCACGATCGGGAGGGGAAAAAGTTTAAACGCAACCTGTTCCATTTAGGCGAGTAATTAATTATTGTGTTTTAAATGCAGCTCAGCGAACACGAAAGCCGGCAAATTGTGTGCAATCGCGACATGTTGACGCGCGAGTGAGAGTAAAATTTTTGTACACAATTATAAAGAACGAGGGAAGGAAGAAGAACGAAAAAAAAGAAGCAAAAGTATTAAACAGGCGTATTGGCGGTGGTGATGGTGGTAGGGCGGTTGGCCTGGGGGGACGAGGGGGGAGTCGCTGGCAAAGTTTAGCGTTACTCGCAATCAGATTTGTTAACAGAGGCGCACGTGAAACGAGTCCCCGGCAGAATGTTTAAAACTGGTTTGTATGTAAGGGGAGGGGTCAGTGGCGGAGAGCTCAAAGCTCCTGAAATAAAGCACACATTCAGCTCATGTACATAGTAAGCACGAAGGAAACAAGCTTCAAGCGACGACGAATGTATCAGCCAGTGCGCGGTTTACATTTATACTCAGCAGACATCGTGTGGTAGTCGTTGCAAAAGGAGAAAGTAATAGAAAAACATCGAGACTACTTCCGCTCGTCTCTCTATCCTACAACTTTTCAAAGCTTCATGTTCCAACAACTCCGTGTTCACACACGTGCGCATTACTAATTATTTCATCAAAAACCAAGGGCGCATCCACGACACCCTGGTGGAGCTGTGGCCGTTCAAACTCACGACTTTGCTTCCGCATTGACCCCCCCCCCCCCCCCCCCCCCATCGGTGTGTCGTAGTCGTCGTCTTCGTCGTCTCTGTCTTTGTCTCTCTCTATCTCTCTCTCTCTCTCTCTCTCTCTCTCTCTCGCCCATTTACCCGACGCTCACAAACCGCAAAATTAAATGGCTTAACGCTTCGATGGAAACTAATTAATCACTTGCTCGCTCCCACGCACTCGTATGTCGTCGGCTTTCGCGAAACACTTGCTTACGTATTAACATGCGCGCGCGCGTTACGAGAGACCGATCGCGCCAATTAAACCTTAGGACATCGTGACCGAGCGGCGCTCACCGAGACCACGGAGGTTGTGGCTACGCTCGTTCATTGATACTCGCCGCTCTCCTGACATTTTCCGAGGCATTTTTTTTTTTTGTTTTTTTTTTGTATTTCTTTTTTTTATTTATTTTTTTTTTTTTTCATGAAATTAAAAAGCTTTTTCAGCGCTAATTGGAATGTAATTTAAATATAAATGACCGGCAAGTCCAAGTCATAGGCGCGCGGACAATATTTTTATGGCGGTGTAAACAGTTCGATGAAATTTTATGGCCACCGTCATAAATTGAATTATCTACGAGGCTACGCACAATACCGCTCGACCAGTTTGTGAAAATTTCCACATTTTTCTAGCCGGTTTTTTGTTATTCTCCCTTTTTTTTCTCTTAATGTACTATACGACCGAAAGCCGCCGGCCGACATTCAAGTGCATTGAAATAATCGTTCCTGTATAAAACTTAATTTGGTTAGTTATTATTTGAAGACAAATACCTTCGTTATTATATTAAATTGAAACAGTTTAGGCACACATTTGCCGAGCGGGATGCCAGACTTTTGCCAAATAATATTGGGCAAAAGTCTGTCCAGGTTGAATACACATATATGAAAATATTTTCAAAACAGCAAATTAATTCGTTCGATTTAGTTAATTTTTTTTGTTTTGTCATTTTTTTTTATTACTCTCTTGCAATCACTGATGCAAAACTCTCGAGAAAGTACCCGATGAAATTGGACGTAAGATATCCCTTGCCAATAGTACGAATTGTAACGTGATATCGTCGGATATCCGTCAAAAGTCGCGTCTTATGTACCGACAGATTTGATTTGTGCATATTTAGCGAATTACGCGAGTCACTCGCACGCTATATCAAACAAGCATCGAGTCCAATTGATTCAGCAGGTGTTCTCGAGATGGAAAAAAAGAAAAACACGTGGGACAATTTGTCAAGAACAAATAATAATGCACGAGAGTGAGAGACAGAGGGACAACGACTACGACGACAGATGGGAGGAAATTGTCAGCGAATCGACATGAATCCGGAAAAGCAATAAGCCCTTACAGTTTGCAATCCAAGTACGGTAGAGTCGCTCGTCGTCAACATCGTTCCTTTTCTCCATGACACGTCTGCTCGCCGGAGAAGATGCTCGAGGTCTAGCTTTTAGCCAGCGGAGGACCTTGCGCGACCTGCCGGCCGAATGACCATCGCGTTACTGCCGTTTCTCGCTCTCTTTTCACACGGAACAGCCGAGCGACCGAATCGTCGTCGGCTCGTACACGCACGCACGCACGCACGCACGCACTCGACTCGATCTATCCGCGCTTCTCCTCCTGGACGGCTGTCGACAGTGTTGGCATCGCCGCAGCCGCAACCGCTGCTGCCGTCGTAGCGGCCGCCGCCGCCGCCACCACCACTACCACCACCACCACCACCGCTGCCACCGCCGCCACCGCTGCTACCGCCGCCACCGTTACCGGCACAGCCGCACTCTCTCCTCCCCCCCCCCAACCCAACCCAACCCATCTAGATCGAGAAAAGCACGTGGCTGTCGCGAGGAGCTGACGAGAGCGGCGGCGCTTTCGGCTTTCCCCTCTTGGCCAAACTAAACTCCGATGCTAGATGGCGAGATGGCGAGTGGGCGCCGGGGAGGGGGACGCTTTTCCGATCTCCGGAAAAAAGTCACTCCGTGCTCCGATATCTTTGTTTATGTTCGCGTGCGAGAGACTCCGACTGTATTATTGCTCAACGAGGCTGGCCGAGTCTCGCAGCGTTAATACACTCGTGCTCAACTGTTTTTCTTATTGTCGTAGCATAGCGCCACGCATACACGCGCGCCGGCTCGCCTTAAGAGCTTTATCGGCCTCGCATTTGCATAATCTTTAATAACTGATCCAATGACAGCCGACTCGGGCCGGAATGCTTTTAATTAATATTGCACACTTTCCGCATTTTCGGCAGCCGATAAAAAATCGTGTAGAAATATTGCCTCGGGGCAGGACACAACCGACTACACTAAGGAAATATTTAAAAATATTGTACTGTTTATTTGTTGTTCGGCGAGACTTAGTGCTGGGACGGGGGGGGGGGGGGGTCGCCGAATTGGTAAACAGTGCCATTAAGAGCTGTAAACAATCCCGTGTATACAAATTGTCCATACTTTTTTTTTTTTTCTAATGTTTTGAGGCGCGACTGATATTGCAACGAAGGATTTTCATTCCTATTAACGCATTATATTTTGCTCGTGTTGATTAAATTCCTCGTTAACGGTCATCTAATCACTGGTGAGTTATCTAATTGATCCATCGCCTCGGATAATCGACAAAAGATAATCCATTTTGACTTTGTCCTTCGTAAAAATAGACTATACTTATGGAAGGATAGCTGATAAACTCATAGAGGATAGATATAATGTTATGCGGAAGATTTATTTGTGTTCTCGTTTGAGGATGATATATGCTGAGTTGGGCTTAAAATTTTTTTATTTCGTCTACATAATAAGCTATTGTGCATAAAATGCTGACATTTCTTACTGTCAAACAACGTCAGTGCAGTCAACACACACATGTTAGGTCTTTGTTCTTCTTTTTTGTTTTTTTTTCAGATTTGTTTATATTACATATACATCTAACACGTGGTATTTATTCAAGAAAGATTTTTTTATTGGTTTTAGAAGGAAACGAGTGTCAAAATCGTTAATTTTAAGGCGTTTATTCTACGCATACCAAAGTAAGATATTGAATTAAAATTGCAAAATTGCTATAAGATGGATTAATCAACTTGAAGTCTAACATAAATATTCATATGATTTGAAAAATCATTTTTTACTCGACAATAAAATAAGCTGAGATTACATGTAGTTGATAATTGTGTCTTCATATCAATTATTATTGTGTTTTCCATATTTAGAGAAGAAATTTAAAGATCGATAGAATAAAATATTGGAGAATTTTTTAAATTGATCAGCTACTTTTAAAAGGTTAAAATGAACTTTAAATTATGCATACAATTGTAATTTTTATGCAATTTGATTTTCACGATTTTTTAGCCTATTTAATCATATATTTTATACACATTGATTTCCGTAGCAGTAGATAGTTGTCACGAACAAAAATGTATTACGATTATTAATTTGAGCCATAGAGTTTAAAGAGCAACGCATTAAAAACATAGCTCAATGCCATACAAATATAAAGAGTCTTCCTTATTTACACGGAACAATTGTTTGAAATAATGTCTTAAAGTTAAATAAGATAAGATATATAAAAGTTTATCCATTCACATACATTAAGAATTGAAAAGCCTTTTGTACTGGATAGATAAATGAAATGGTAAATTGCTAAACTAATAGTGAAATTGTTATGTTAATCGCAAACTTCTTAACCGTGATTCAAAACATTATGCAAGTAAATTATTGTGCTATAATTACGTGCATTTATATTTGATTTCGACAGATAAGTGTTGCATTAGTTTGTTCCGCATTATGAATTTCATTTGTATGGAAGCTCGGAACATCGATATTAAATACAATACATCTTAACTTTAATCATATCTAATTACTAACTTAGATTCTTCCACACGATCGATTTTGTAGATAATAGCATGGAATAATGAAATTAAGCGCACTTAGCGTAAAATCAAAATTTACCTCGTAGTTGTCTTTGTTTAGGAAGCCAGAGACCGCTGAAATGCAATTATCATTATTATATTGTCGCATTGATGTCGAATCGAACTTATGTCGTAAAAATTGTGCAAAATCCGTAATTTCGTCTCGCTCCACGATTGAGCAAACACTGAACAATTCTCATAATTATTTACGTTTTATATTTATCGTTTTTGGAAAGGTAAGGGGCCGAAATTTTATTTTTGAAAGGCGTGGGCAGTAGGGAAGAAAGGCGGGTACAACAAGGGCGACATTCTTAGCCTTTATTAGACATTAAAGGAAAATTGATCTAGCCGTCGGGTCTATGGAAAGCTCGTTCGCTCCTCTAATGAAAGGATGCACATGCGTGAGCTTGGAATTTCGGCGTGGAAGAAAGGTGGCCAAGGCTTTCTTCCACCAGGTAATCCTACTATTCTTTCTTTCGGCCAGCCAGGAACAAACACGCACTTAATTATGTGGAAGGCAGGGAGCTACGGATGACGGACGACTGAATTATCCATGCTTAGAGAATAATCGATTGGTGGTTCGGTTCGTTGTGCTTAATTAGGGAAAATGGAGAATTGACTTTGAAGAGTTAAGCAAAGCAACGCGTCTGGCTCGAATCATTTGGGAGTATCGAGTGAAAAGATCGAGTCTAATCATTTAAAGATCACATTATTTTCATTGTCGAGCATTAGTTTTAACTCCCGCTTTCGATAATTAGCCATTTAAAAATGTTCAAACGATTTTATAAAACCTGCAAGATTATCATTATCTCGAGTAATAATTATTTGCATATTTATAAATTATCCAAGCCTCTTTTTCGCAAATGTTCACCCTCTTATCCGCGTAAATCATCGAACAAGCGATCGAGAACATATTTTTTTAGGGGGTGCGGGAGAATAAATCGAATAAAGAGGGGCTTCGTTAACCTTTGCCTTAGCGCGGCATCAATCATCGAAAGTGGATAGGAGATAATTCAAATTCTCGCGGTCTTATCAAAGGACGCCGAAAACGACTCGTCGAGTGGAAGCGAAAGCAAGCTCGATGGAGGGGCGAGGATGAAAAAGAGACAGGAGATATCCCGCTCCTTCGTTAAAGCGCATAAAAAATTAAAAGCATGGGAGAGCTGCTGGCGTGCTTGGAGTGTAAACTTCCCCTAAGCTCGTTACCTCTTTCCTCGAGTGCACGTGTCGGAGAATTCGAACGTCCCTCCCGAATCAGAGATGAAAAAATGAGATAAGCACCTTTGCTACCTGTGCCCGCGAGAACGTGTTCCTCCCCCTTCGGCTCATTCTCCCTCTGTTATTGCTCTCCGGTCTTTTTTTTCTTTTTCCTGTCTCTAATTTGTCCCCCTCCCCGCCCCAACACCTCTCTCTCACTCTCTCTCTCTCTCTCTCTCTCTCTCTCTCTCTCGTTCTCTTTTTATTTTCACTCTCCTCTTACGCTTTTTAATTCCTATCCCTCGTCCCTTTCACTCGGCACTCGATGAGGCAAAAGTGCTGGACTCGCTTATTCGAAAATTTATGCAGTTGAGAAACGCTTGCATGACAACCGCCGTAAAAAATCTAAACACCAAATTAAACTTTCTAATCACCATGGACGCGCCTCTCGGAGAAATTTTACCGCCTCTGACAGCTTGCAGCAACGTGTAGCCACGATTTCGAGCGAAAAAGCAAAGTAAAGTCGAGTTCCATTTTCATATCCCATTATGATTAGTTTTGCCTCCGATACGACCACTATAGCTCGCAGAGCAGAATTAAAAGGTGGATATCTGGAATAAAAGGACGGAGCTCGAGATGCAAGTT